CATTTAATTACAACCTGATGTGGCTTATAATCCCGCGTAGATTTTGGTGGTGCTCCTGTTGTTGTTGTATTGCTGGGGCGATCTAATTTTCGCGCCTTTTCTGTCCGTCCGCGTTGATATCTGCTCCTTGATCTGCTGATTAATTCCAATTGGAATTATGAGCTATGTTGGTGCTGTTGAGCCTTTTGCATTGTCCTCTAATTCGTATTTATACGAGTTAGGAGAACAATGCAGGGATGTGTTCATTTGGTATGAACAATTGGTTTACCATTTATACAATTGGTTTCTGTAGCATACTAAAATATGTCTGTCTTTGGCATTACAAACACTTGATTCTGATGGTTTAGTTTGTGTGAAAGCTTTAGTGATCCGATCTGAACAATTTCTTCGAAGATTGCACCATTGCCTCGAACAATAATTCGTGCCATATTTGGTATGGATATTTCGTAACAGGAAAAAGTTTTTCATATAAGCACTTGATTCCGATCGATCAGTTTTAATTGAAGCTATATGCTTTAGTGATCGTATATGAACAATTTCTACGGAGATTGCACCATTGGCTTGAACAATAATCCGTGCCAAATTTGATGTAGATGAACCATTTCTTCGGAGATTACACCATTGCCTTAAACAATAATCCGTGCCAAATTTTGGTGAAGATATTTCGTTAAATAAAAAAAATTTCAGTTTGTCTGCGGTTCCAGACGCTGATCACTTGCATATAAACATTATAATGTCCCCGACCTTTCCTATAGGGTGTTACAATCATCGTGACAAACTTAATAAACTCTGTTCAGGGTATAAAAAAGTATAAAGCAAATTGAAAAAAAAGATTGATTAAATATTAAACTTTTTATCATTTTAATATGATAAATTTATTTTTTGGTAAAATTTCAACATAGTTCAGAACATTTTTACATTAAAATACGTATAGTTTTTTTTTTCATTTGGAAATGTTTTAATTTTTCCTTTTCATTCCACCTTTTGATTTAAAAATTTCTTAAATTATTTGTTACACCAATTTTTAAATTAAAACAATTTTATCAATTTGTAGTTCTTTTTACATCTTAAATTATTTATTTTTACATCTTATCTTTTGTGTTATTAAATTCGCAACCCTGATCCATCGAATAAGTGAGTTATTGTTCAGGTTCAGAATGAAGGGAATGTATAAAAAGGGCCTCAACTACTAAGTTGTCTTTCCCTCGCTTATAATGACGTTTAGCATTATAGCTTGCTATAAAAGCTTTCCACCTTTTTATTTTTGGCTTAGAATTTCGATCGGATACTGCCGAAATGTTCTCGCAATAATTAATAAACACATTTATTTGGTATTGATCAGTGGGAATTTTATTTTTTTAAATTGAGAGGACGAAACCTTACGAAATCAACCTCTAAAGACATAGAGTAAAGGCTTGGCAAATTCCGCGTAGTGGAGCACAAAGCACCCAGACATTTCTAGAAAAGACCGAACATCCCTAAGCTTGTTGGTTGAGGAATGTTTTGGATTGCTCAAATTTTCTGCTGGTAGGTCTTAATTCCTCCTTTTGATATCTGAATGGAAAAATATTCTAGTTCTGGTTTATTAAAATTTGAGAAACTCTGAAGTTTGTTTTTTTTCTTTTTTGCTGTCGACCACTATGGTTTTTATACTTTGGCAACATGTTGCTACATGGTATAATAGTTTTGATCACGTAACGGTTGAACGACGAGATCAGACGAGTTGAATTTTGAGTGACTGTCAGTCTGTCCGTCCGTTTAAGCGATAACTTGAGTAAAAATTTAGATATCTTGTATAAAATGTTTAATTTATACATATATATCTCTCAAACTATTTAAGTTACATCACCCAAATTTGCACAAGACACCTCCTCCGACAACATGAAAATAGGAAAAATCGGATGATAATCATGCCCACTCCCCACATAACGGTTTTGTTAAAAACTACTAAAACTGCGATAAATTAATAACGAAATGTGTCAGAGACATTAAGTTTTACATCCAAATGAGAGAAAAGGGCTTTATAGAAGCAGGAGTGGATCAAATACCTTGAACCTACTACACCAATTTCTACCAAATTTGGTATATAAGATTATTTTGACATTCTTATGTAATCAAGCACTAATTAATCAGCCCTATCACGCAATCCATAGTGCAAAGTTACGAATATGAATGTCCGCTACGCATACGAATAATTTGCTACCACTGAATCATTGTGAACTCGAAATTTTTATTACCATATTTAAATATTTAATTTTGGCATATCAAAATCAGCTGGGTAGAAGAAAAAATTTATATTTTGATAAATAGAGCTGAAATCGTTTAGGTTAAAATTGAATTTACGAACAAAAGATGGATTGAAAAGTGCTGCATAGTCGCAGCGAATGCGTTTCGTGGCATATCAGAAGCAACATACAAAAGATGGCTTAAGCGGTTCAGAGGTAATGATTTTGGACATGGAAGACCACCAAAAAAGGATGAAGATGATACTTTAAGGCAAAAGCAAATAGCAGCCATGTTATATGTTGCACAACAATTAATTACAGACCGTTTGAAGCTATGGGAGAGATCCAGAAGTGTGGAAAATGGGAGCCACATGAATTGAATGAAAGACAAATGGAAAACCGAAAAAACACTTGTGAAATTTTACTTCAAAGACACGAAAGAAAATCAGATTTGTATCGAATTGTCACTGGCGATAAAAAATTTATTTATTTTAAGAATCCCAAGCGGAGAAAATCATGGGTTAATCCGGGACAAACATTAACATTGACTGCAAAAACAGATCGGTTCGGTAAGAAGGCAATACACTTGTACTGCTTTCTTTCAGCTGGAAATGTCTTTTATAGACGGACCAAAACTATTGAGTTCCTCGGCCATAATTTTCCAAAATGTTGTTGCTTCTTCATTAGGGCACTTTGTAAAACCCTGCGCCATTTCGGGTTTTTGTTGTAAAAGATCAATCCTAAGCGCATTTTGCTGTTTGGTTGTAATTATTTTAGACCTGTTAAACAGAAAGGTTGTTTTACTCGTAACAAATACAGTTTTAGTTTCATTTGAATAAAAACATACATTTTCTAATTTTTTCGATTTATTTTTCCGCAACCAAAAACTTGTCGTAGACAAATTCCCAGAAAATTCAAAACTTAACGTTTCGAGTGTATTCAGTGAATTCCACTCTGTGAGTTTCGAACTTACGTTCGGAGATGTTCGAATTGCATGATAGCAATTTCGTAAAATTCCCAGAAACACAGTATACGATGGATAGCGTGATAGAGCTGAATATATCAGAATAAAAATTTGCTCGAATATTTCCTTTTAGGTATGCCATTTCAGGTCTAAAAATTGACATAATCGGACCATGAATACGGAATCGGACCATTGAATAGTTTCAATTTTGCCAACACCTGAAGGGTATTTCCCCGTCTTTGATCCTTGCAAGTTGCAATAGTATGAAATGATCAGTTACACCAGAACTTAGCCCTTCCTTACTTGTTTTTTATTCAATTTACGAAAATCTAGAACTAGTCTAGTCTAATGAATACCCCATATTCTCGTTTTATCATACAGATTAGCAATTGAGCTCAATTATTTTAGTCAAATATATTTAACACTTCCTTTACAATTCAAAAGAAGCCTTAACTTAATTGTGTAACTACAAGTGCATTACTTATTTTATGTTTCGTTCTTTATCGTATAATAGTGAGTATTGATGATAATCTCCACTTTGGTGAATTGTACAATTTCAAGGATTTTTTCCACTTCGTTCCATGTTGACTAAGTTGATTAATAACACTAGTTTACAGTCATTTTGCGACTATGAACGTGGGGTTTTTGGTGTTGACGTCAAGGGCTACTATTTACAAAAGTGGCGAAAATAGCGAAGGAAAATTTTTGAATTCAAATTTGTATTCAAGACACCTTAAAGAAAGACCGTTAATCACATCAGTCGTATATTTTTTCTACAGATTTGTTGAGTAGTGTAATAAGACGTTTTCACTTATTTTTCAGGAATGCCCAACATTGGGCACCAGTAAAGATTAAACTTGGGTATTACCATATTCATTATTTTATTTATTGCATGGAAAGAATAACTAAACAGCTTTAAAATTTTGTTTCGCACTAAATTGTCAGTTACTTTTAGTGGGTTTATTTTTGGCATCACGCCCTTTTTATATCATCTGTTCGAAGATCCCTGATTTTCATCGCTACAAAACTTAACAAGACACGTTTAAGAAAACATTTGGAGAGTTTCTAATCGTGTCATCATGTCATCCGTGCTTTTACATGTACATTTTTTGAAAAGAAAGTATCACCCAAAGATAGTTAAAACAAAAATACGGAAGAGTTTGAATGTACATAAATATATACATACTGAAAAAACAATATGCAATTTCAAAAAAAAACATGTTACGTGTTTACGTCGTAACATCATTGTTCAAAAGAAGTGTCGTCAATATTTACTATTATTGCATTTTAAAGTACGTAGGACGGAATGAGAGGAACTACGACTGTGTGAGTGAGCACTAAAATAAAGACACCAACACAGAACTATGTAACCTTACATTTTGAGAATATTCTTATTCTTTCGTGAAACAACGTTAAGATACGTAAAAATAAGTAAATATATAATGATAATTTTATTATATGTTAGACCCTAAAGACCTTAATCTTATTGTCTTATATATATAACTATTAAAAGAATTATGTTAGACCCTAAAGACCTTAACTTTATTGTCTTTAAATAATCATAAAGGAATTTCTTGCAGGGCACATTTGCACACGATGTGTACCAGAGAATTGTTTGAATGCCCAATTTTCTTACTCAAAGTATACTTGCGTGTAGGTGAGCACGAACTTAAACTACACCCAGTGAGAACTTTGTTACGATGAATTTTGTGAATCTCTTTCATTCTTTGTATAAACAAGTAGTCTCACGCTTCCTGATTTATTTTATATATTGTACGATTAAAATAAATATNATTATTTTAATAGTAATATATAAATGAATAAAAATGCATAGAATTGCATAGAATTGCTTGTTTCACGAAAGAATAAGAATATTCTCAAAATGTAAGGTTACATAGTTCTGTGTTGGTGTCTTTATTTGAGTGCTCAATCACACAGTCGTAGTTCCTCTCATTCCGACCTACATACTTTAAAATGCAATAATAGTAAATATTGACGACACTTCTTTTGAACAATGATGTTACGACGTAAACACGTAACATGTTCTAACATTCAGCGAATACATTAAGATAGTTCAGAAAATATTGCTCTACGAATATTCAACTGAATTTGCGATAGCCTTTGACTTGGTCCTTATATACTCGTAGCGTTATCTCACATCTGAAAAGTTTTTTTCTGAGAGTTCTCGCTACTTATTGTACATTCGATTTTTGAACTTGCTAGTGTATCAATCTCTTTCTTTTGTCCGACAGTATGTATATATTTATGTACATTCAAACTCTTCCGTATTTTTGTTTTAACTATCTTTGGGTGATACTTTCTTTTCAAAAAATGTACATGTAAAAGCACCGATGACATGATGACACGATGAGAAACTCTCCAAATTTTTTCTTAAACGCGTCTTGTTAAGTTTTGTGGCGATGAAAATCAGGGATCTTCGAACAGATGATATAAAAAGGGCGTGATGCCAAAAATAAACCCACTAAAAGTAACTGACAATTTAGTGCGAAACAAAATTTTAAAGCTGTTTAGTTATTCTTTCCATGCAATAAATAAAATAATGAATATGGTAATACCCAAGTTTAATCTTTACTGGTGCCCAATGTTGGGCATTCCTGAAAAATAAGTGAAAACGTCTTATTACACTACTCAACAAATCTGTAGAAAAAATATACGACTGATGTGATTAACGGTCTTTCTTTAATGTGTCTTGATTACAAATTTGAATTCAAAAATGTTCCTTCGCTATTAAATAGTACCCCTTGACGTCAACACCAAAAATCCTACGTGTTAGGAAATTTTTACTATAATTTTCGGTTTTAGCAACCCAACATTAGCAAGAAACAGCCTCTAACATCATAGTCGCAAAATGACTGTAAACTAGTGTTATTAATCAACTTAGTCAACATGGAAGGAATTTTTTTTTGGAAGAGTGGAAAAAATCCTTGAAATTGTACAATTCACCAAAGTTGAGATTATCATCAATACTCACTATTATACGATAAAGAACGGAACATAAAATAAGTAATGCACTTGTAGTTACACAATTAAGTTAAGGCTTCTTTTGAATTGTTAAGGAAGTGTTAAATATTTTTGACTAAAATAATTGAGCTCAATTTTTTTGCAACTTGCAAGGATCAAAGACGGGGAAATACCCTTCAGGTGTTGGCAAAATTGAAACTATTTAATGGTCCGATTCCGTATTCATGGTCCGATTTTGTCAATTTTTAGACCTGAAATGGCATACCTTCAAGGAAATATGCGAGCAAATTTTTATTCTGATATATTCAGCTCTATCACGCTATCCATCGTATACTGTGTTTCTGGGAATTTTACGAAATTGCTATCATGCAATTCGAACATCTCCAAACGTAAGTTTGAAACTCACAGAGTGGAATTCACTGAATACACTCGAAACGTTAAATTTTGAATTTTCGCGGAATTTGTCTACGACAAGTTTTTGGTTGCGGAAAAATAAATCGAAAAAGTAGAAAATGTATGTTTTTATTCAAATGAAACTAAAACTGTATTTGTTACGAGTAAAATAACATTTCATGTTTACCAGGTATAAAATAATTACAACCAAAAATGCGCTTATGATTGATATTTTACAACAAAAACCCGAAATGGCGCAGGGTTTTACAAAGTGCCCTAATGAAGAAGCAACAACATTTTGGAAAATTATGGCCGAGGAACTCAATAGTTTTGGTCCGTCTATCAAAAACAAGAAAGCAGCATATTACAATTATATTTTTTATTGGTGTAGCAGCAGCTAAATAGGATAATTTAAATATTATTCACACATTTTGACCACCTTTCTGGGAATTTGTGGATACCATTCCAATAGAAATGTTCGTATTTTGAAGCAAACCGATCAGACACCCAATTTTCGATTTCTGCGTAGGAATCTAAGTGCTGTACAGTCAATGCGTGTCCCATCGATAAAAACAAATGATAATCGGAAGGTGCCTGGTGAATACGGCCACCTGAATAAGGCCTGCACCGATTTTGCTTTGTTTGCAAGTGTATTGTGGTGTAACAAAATTACTTTACCGTGTCTTTTGGCTCGTTCTGGTCGTTTTTGTCTCAATACATCGCTCAAATTTATCATTTGTTGTCTGTAGAGATTAGTATTAACAAATTAAAAATTTTATACAAGATATCTAAATTTTTACTCAAGTTATCGCTTGAACGGACGGACAGACAGACAGTCACTCAAAATTCAACTCGTCTGATCTCGTCGTTCAACCGTTACGTGATCAAAACTATTATACCATGTAGCAACATATTGCCAAAGTATAAAAACCATAGTGGTCGACAGCAAAAAAAGAAAAAAAAAAACTTCAGAGTTTCTCAACTTTTAATAAACCAGAACTAGAATATTTTTCCATTCGGATATCAAAAGGAGGAATTAAGACCTACCAGCAGAAAATTTGAGCAATCCAAAACATTCCTCAACCAACAAGCTTAAGGGGTGTTCGGTATTTTCTAGAAATGTCTGGGTGCTTTGTGCTCCACTACGCGGAATTTGCCAAGCCTTTACTCTATGTCTTTAGAGGTTGATTTCGTAAGGTTTCGTCCTCTCAATTTAAAAAAATAAAATTCCCATTGATCAATACCAAATAAATGTGTTTAATAATTATTGCGAGAACATTTCGGCAGTATCCGATCGAAATTCTAAGCCAAAAATAAAAATGTGGAAAGCTTTTATAGCAAGCTATAATGCTAAACGTCATTATAAGCGAGGGAAAGACAACTTAGTAGTTGAGGCCCTGTTTATAAATTCCCTTCATTCTGAACCTGAACAATAACTCACTTATTCGATGGATCAGGGTTGCGAATTTAATAACACAAAAGTTAAGATGTAAAAATAAATTTTCCAAAATCGGAAAAATATTAGAAATTTTTATTTAGTCTCAAAATTAGAACTACAAATTGATAAAATTGTTTTAATTTAAAAATTGGTGTAACAAATAATATAAGAAATTTTTAAATCAAAATGTGGAATGAAAAGGAAAAATTAAAACATTTCCAAATGAAAAAAAACTATACGTATTTTAATGTAAAAATGTTCTGAACTATGTTGAAATTTTATCAAAAAATAAATTTACCATATTAAAATGATAAAAAGTTTAATATTTAATCAATATTTTTTTTTCAATTTGCTTTATACTTTTTTATACCCTGAACAGAGTTTATTAAGTTTGTCACGATGATTGTAACACCCTAAAGGAAAGGTCGGGGACATTATAATGTTTATATGCAAGTGATCAGCGTCTGGAACGGCAGACAGACTGAAAATTTTTTTATTTAACGAAATATCTTCACCAAAATTTGGCACGGATTATTGTTTAAGGCAATGGTGTAATCTCCGAAGAAATTGTTCATCTACATCAAATTTGGCACGGATTATTGTTCAAGCCAATGGTGCAATCTCCGTAGAAATTGTTCATATACGATCACTAAAGCATATAGCTTCAATACAAACCGATCGATCGGAATCAAGTGCTTATATGAAAAACTTTTTCATGTTACGAAATATCCTTACCAAATGTGGCACGAATTATTGTTCGAGGCAATGGTGCAATCTTCGAAGAAATTGTTCAGATCGGATCACTAAAGCTGTCATACAAACTAAACCATCGGAATCTAGTGTTTGTAATGCCAAAGACAGACATATTTTAGTATGCTACAGAAACCAATTGTATAAATGGTAAACCAATTTTTGTTCCAAAGCAAATGGAGTTCTGTACTACAATAGTGTTCAAAAAACCAATGAAATTATATGGTGTTCTATATTGTACCATTATGTATTCCACTGAACACACCCAAAGCTTAAAGCTTAAAAACTAAAATAACCGGAAATATTATAAAAAAATAAAAAAAATCGAAAAAATGTTGTTGCAAGGCAATATTGCTTGGTCTTTTTTAATGCCCATAGAGATAGTGTAAAATTATTTGTTTTCCTCCTCAGGTAATAAAATATTATAAGATTCTTTGCTGTCATAAGCAATTTGGTTCATGCCAGGTTTGTGTTTATTTTTGTTTTTAGTTGAATTAAATTTTTTTGCATCAGCTGATAAGTCAAACATATACCATCATACCCATATTGTTTCCTGAGCTTTTATTGAACATTGTTGTACAGAAACCATATGTCTGTCTTTAACATTTGGAATCTTGTATTTGTGTAGTGTATCTAAGCTTCGGTGCAACCGAAGTTAATGTTTATATTGTTTGTTATTTTATATAATGAGATATTGAGGATTAAAAGTTTCAACATCAATTTCAACGTGTAAGAACAAAGTATACTCTTTTGTAATGCCTTCGAAATATTTTTGAGATTGCGTCTCACCGCGCGAAAATGTCAAATGGAAAATAGGTTAAGGAAATGGCCTCAAACTTTACACTTTGCGGTAAAGTCAAATATGTTAGGCACCGATTTATTAGGAGTGATAGAATAATCGTGAAAAGCGAAAACAAATTCCTGAGTCAGCAAATCGAATACTGGTAAACAGCTCTACGACTGCAGTGCGTGGCATGAGTCTGCACATTCCTATTCCCACATTCAATGCCATACCATATGTGTTGGCCCACGGTAGCAACGAGAACGGCAACAGCGCATGTACGTAACGACCGCAGCAGCAGTAAGGCTTTTAATATCAATGTGCAACAATGAAATATCAGAAAACCATGTACATGTTTAGTAACACATATTTGGTATTTTATGATTTTAACACTCATCTGCTTCATCATAACGAGCTTTTAATAACCAGATTATTTTGCTAATCGTTCTATTTTGGAGCTATTGCCGGTTCCACGGTCATTGCACGTTCCCAAGGTTCCACACACTCTACAAACCACCTCTTCTCATCCTCTGGTCGAACCGGTCTAAGATTTAAGAATCTTGGGGACCAATTATTAAAGGTATGTGTAGCGATACCAGAGTAAAACCTAAACTCCACACTAGGCTGTATAGACATTTTGGAATTTCAGCCCCTTTTTAGCAATTTAATTTACATAACCCGAACAAACTGCTATAAAGCTATGATCTGGAACATATTCTGAATTTGGTAGTCTTTATTTTTATTTTGACTTCTAATTTTTTTGAATTAAAATTTGTTTGCTTGATGTCAAAATTATAGAAAGCGTATTGTTGTGACAGAAAATCTAAAGGCTTTGATTAATGAACGCACTCACCATCATTGTACCTTGAACAACACAATACATTTTCTATGATTTCTTGCTCGATACTTAAGTTCCGACTGCGTTGGCTTGGAACAAAAATTCAAAGAGGACTTGTATCATACTCCAATATGTCTATCTAGAACAATTAGATTATATTAGAAAAAATCGACTTAATATGTTGAAAATAGTGGAATTTCCAAACAGTATTTAGCAAAAGTTTTAAGTGCTCTTCAAAGATTTACCCATTAAAATAAAAACAATTATTTCATAATTGTTTACATATTTACTTTGTAGTTTCGAATCTTAACTATTATAATATTTTTATTTTTTCATACAAATTTACTCATAAACTATACAATCGTGTTTCGTATATTTATAAAGAACTATATATGGCTATATAAATATTATTATTTAAATTTTTATATGTGAAAAAGCTGTTTATTACATTAAAAGAGCCAACACATTAAGAATTAGTGTTAAACGGATTCACCCTGACTTTAGTACCAAAATGAAACATTTAAATGCACGTCTAATTAACACTAATTGCCGCTGATTGTAGTCGTATATATATGGCTCAAGTATAAATTAAAATATGTTGTATAGTTCATATGAGCCATAATGCGATGTTTTCTTAAAGGAAGTCTTGGAGATAAGGACAACATACTGGCCCATTGTCCTTCGCAAAGGTCATCGTATCGAAGAAAACCTACTTCGTGTCCACCAAGACTGCCATGTCCGCGGCATACCGCCACTTGACCATCCCACAATTTTCCAGAGAACTCCCGTATCCATCGCGCTAAATACAAAACCTTGCAATCACAATGCCAGGGATTCTTATCCAGTTTGACTGCGACTAACTTTTTTAAACTACTGAACGCCCCGTTTTGTAAATATTGCAATTTATTCGAGTCAATTCGTCTGCAAAAAAAAAAAATTATCTTTTAAAATTGTGAAAGTAAGGACTGAATGCGAAAAAATCCAAGAATACATTGTGCGGTACTTTTATATTTTCGAAAGATATTGCATAAAGTATAATATTGTATAATAGTGGTTGTTTGAAACACATCAAGATGACGATAACTTATCTGAAAATAAAGATATCTTGGTAAAATATAATAAGTTTTCTTTGACGGAAATTAGGAGAAATATGAGGACCTCAGTACTCTTAATGGAATTCAAAGGGTATCTCTTCCTAAAAAAATGAAACGAAATAAATCGAAACTCAAACTTCCTATATGCTTTATACCATATAAATCGGTCCATAGATATCTTAGAAAGATTATCTGAACTTTAAATCTTAGATATTAAATAGCTTGGGGTCAAAATTAGGTTCATGAATTACCCCCACTTTTGGTTGGCAAAATCCTCCGCTGAACCCTCCACGGGGGTGCCGACTGGGAATAGATACCACAGGTTCACGACGTGGGCAAGGGCGAGCTGGCAGCAGTTCGCCCCTGTTGTAGTAGTGAGGTATCTAGCTAAAGTCAGGCTTAATATCTGGGTGTTCGGTACTCTTCAATAGTGCAGCATCCAGATAGGAGGTCTTACCATGGTAGGAGGTATATAAAGGGCTGGATCAAGGTATCATGCGACCCGTGCCGAAGATCAACCTGGCTGGGGGCCCTTAAATAATCCAGTCTCGCACGGAGCGTCCTCCGTAATAAGATAGCCTTACTTGCGTAGCGGGGGCTATGCGCAAGCGGACATACTTTCCCTTACCCTCGTGGGTCAAAAATTTTGAGCCAAAACTTTATAAACAAAAACAAAAAGGAGTTCGGACCTCCTTCAAAAAGACCGGAGTGAGCGAGTTGTTCCCAAAGGAGCGCAGCGTTTGGCACGAGCTCGACAACAGCCAAAGCGAGGACAGGAGCGAAGCTTGGTCCTGGAGCAAAGCCAAATACTAAAGGGGTAGAAGCCAAGACTGGCGCCAAGAAAGCAGCAGCGCTGGAGGCAGCCCATACCAACCCCTGTAGCCAAGGCTTGGCAGCTAAGCAGGAGAAGGAAGGAGACGCCAAAAGCGATGCTGCCAGTAGTGGGTCAGCCAGAGAATTTGACCCAGCAAAAGCGAAGTATGCAGAGAGGCGACGCGCTGCATACCTGCTGAAGAAGATGGAGCTGCAACCGGCAACCAATGAGGAGCTCACAAAGGAGCTCCAGGAATCCATTGATTACGCGAGAGCTATTCTACCTAACTTCAAGCTAGAAGCGCCGGTAGTGGCGGCTAAAAGACAAAGGTCAGCTGAAGAGGCTAAGAGGGCTTAGCTAAGAGAGCGAAAACTAAGGGCGTGACGCCCGCAAGAACTTTTGCTGATGTGGCCCGAAACCGCATTGTCATTGGTAGGATGAGGGTGACCCCGAAGGAAAAATCCCCAGAGACCAATGGAAATGGGTGCAAGCCGCACTGACAAATGTGGCTTTGGAAGTGCTACTAAGCAATCTAGGTCCATCCCCGTCATGTGCGGATGCCGGATGGTATCAAGGGCAGATAAAGATGATAGCGTGTGATGACGAGAGATCTGTCCAGCTATATAAGGCAGCAATAGCTAAGGTGGGGGAGGTCTACCCCGGAGCCAAGTTAGTAGCGGTAGATAGAAAAGACATCCCATCTCGACCGAGGGCAAGGGTATGGATCCCGGCTACACCATCGCAGCCGGACCAATTAATGCAGCTCATAAGAGCCTGCAACCCGAATCTGCCAACTGGGAGATGGAGATTCGTCAAAGCCTTTGACGACCCCGCAGCGGAATCTCGTGTGGAGACGAAACGAGCCACAATGCAGATTTTGTTGCTTCTAACAAAATAATCTGTAAAACCGCTAGCGAAAAGTGGCGGAGAGATCAACTACGGATTCACAAAAAAGAAGGTCATGACCTACAAGTCAGACGCCGATGCAGGAGAAAACTTGGCATCGGAATCGGAGTGCGAAGTCGAGGAAGATCCAGCGGAGTTCTCGAACGACGCATAGAACACAGATCAAGGTGAGTGTATTTCGGGGTCTGAGCTTGCGAACAGACTCCCTAAACTTTACACTGAGAGTGATCTTTTAAGCGACTTTCATGCTGATGCAGAGAAGACAATAACTAATGCATCTTCTCCAAATGAATCTACACCACAGCAAACTAGCGTCTCTAGCCCTAGTTAACCGCATGGCAGAAGAACGGCCTGACTTCGTCCTCATTCAGGAGCCATGGGTTAATGGAGGGCGTATTTGCGGCCTGAGGACACCGGGATATAATTTATACGCGAATGGTTGTGTAGGTAAGCCTAGGACATGTATATTGCCTAGCAAAACGCTTAATGTCTTTTTACTACACAGTTACAGTAGTAACGACACTACAGTAGTAAGCTGGGAGACGGCTGAGAAGAAATACCGGCTGGCATCATGCTACATGCCGTACGACGAGGTAGCAGTACCATCACAGCTGTAAGAGCTGGTACGTGACACCGAAGCATCCAAGTGTTCGATTATACTTGGGTGCGACTCCAATGCGCACCACACTCTTATGGGGAGGTACGGATATTAATGAAAGGGGTGAGTTGTTCTTTAATTATTTAATAGAAAGTAAGCTTTTGCTATGTAACAAAGGTAGTACGCCAACATTTATAACCAGAAACCGACAGGAAGTATTAGATATAACACTGGTATCGGAAGAACTGGTGCATAAAATAACACATTGGAGGGTATTGGAGGAACATTCCTTCCCAGATCACCGCTAATTGAAGAAAATGTAGTTAGGGAAGAGAAATTTAGGAATCATAGGGAAACGAACTGCCAGATGCACATGCAGGAGCTACAAAATCGTATTCCTATGAATCCACAATTTCAACCGGAAAAGAAAGAGGACCTAGACATCCTCGTTAAACAATTCACAGATTCTTGTCGTCAAGCCCTAGAAGTAGCTTGTCCATTAACGTACAGTAGGGGAAGAATTAGACCTCCTTGGTGGTCTCCCATATTTAAGAACATGCAGAAAAAGTGCAGGAGGTAATTCAATTTTGCCAAATTATCCCAAGAAGATATAGAGTGGGATAACTATCATAAACACCTACGGTCATACAAAAAGGAGGTAAGAAAAGCAAAAAGGAATTTGTGGAAATCTTTTTGTAATGACATCGAGAATACGGCAGATGCGTCTCGACTGAGAAAGATAATGACACAGTCGAAACATAGCATCGGATACCTTCAGAAGCCAGAGCACAGCTGGACGGTATCCAGTAAAGAGACTCTAGGCCTACTAATGGATACTCACTTCCCAGACAGTTCCGAGAACCTCATAGGGGGACATATAATGGAGAGTGAAGTAGGCTCAGAGTCCCATCCGCTAGGCATAGTGTCAGATAGCAATGTTTATTGGGCAATAGGCAGCTTCAAGCCTTATAAAACGCCGGGACCAGACGGACTATTCCCGGCTCAGTTACAGCAGTCCCTGAGCTACACAATAAACTGGTTAACAACCATGTTCAGAGGGGCACTGGAATTAAACTATATTCCCTCGATATGGAGGGAAGTCAAGGTGATATACATACCAAAGTCTGGCAAAAGCTCACACATTAATCCAAAGGACTTAAAACCAATTAGTCTTTCATCATTTCTTTTAAAAATGCTGGAGAGACTAATAGGAATACATATAACGGACATACTAAACCCAGGAAAAATGGCAGTTTCGCAGCATGCATACTCGAAGGGTAGATCCACAGAAACGGCATTAAGCTCAGTGGTAACAGAGATTGAAAAGTCTCTGGAAATAAAAAAATACACCCTCGTAGCCTTCCTAGACATAGAAGGTGCCTTCAACAACATCCAGCCGAAGGCCATATTGAGCAAGCTTAAAGATCTGGGCATCTCTGAGCCTCTCCGGAAATTAATTGAACAGATTCTCTTGGTCAGGTCAATTATTTCAACGCTGGGAGCTTCAACGATGCACAGATCTGTTCGAAGGGGTATACTCCAAGGAGGCGTGTTATCCCGACGTCTCTGGGCAGGTCAATTATTTCAACGCTGGAAGCTTTAACGATGCACAGATCTGTTCGAAGGGGTATACCCCAAGGAGGCGTGTTATCCCCACTTCTCTGGATCTTGACAATGAATAAAATGCTGGTGGGTCTAGAAAACCGCCATTTTTAAATGGCACCAGGCTAACGATAGGAGATAAAGCAAGCTACTTGGGTCTAATATTGGACAGGAAGCATTCTTGGAAACAAAACTTGGAAGCGAAGGTAAAGAAAGCAGCTACAGCGCTTTAAACATGTAAAAGAATGGTGGGGCCCAGATGGGGACTGATACCTCGGGTGGCTCACTGACTGTATACAGAAATTGTAAGGCCGATTATGACCTACGGTATAGTAGTATGGTGGCCAATTACAGAAAAGAAATATGCGCCAAGCCAGGCACTCAACATAATTTTACACTTGATGCCAACAGATAAGGCATCACCGTACAACTAGATACTGGTAAGGAGGACATAAATATGCCTCTGGCTACTTGTAGATACTTAATCGACAAACATGTCATTAATATAGCCGAGTGTCAGTGGAGTCAGTCCCTGACCTGCTCAACTAGCAGGCAAACGTAACAAGAATGGAATATGACCCGCACATGCCGACTGTTAAAATTCAAGAGGAATGATATAAGAACTCTAGTAGGAGTACTAACAGGCCACTGTCTAATAGGCAGACATGCAAGTAGACTTCGCACGCCATATAACGATTATTTTAGAAGCTGTCAGGAAGTAGAAGAGGAGGAGACCATTAAACATCTTCTATGCGATTGCGCAGCACTATATAGGAAAAGAATCGCAACCATCGGTCGTGGGTTTCTTGACGACGTCTCGGAGGTTGCACAGATAAAACATGTCTCACTGATGAAGTTTATCAGAAGTACGGGGTGGTTCAGAGAGGAGCCAATAGAGTGAGGGGATCACAGTCCCAGTGCTATCACAATGGGCCTTCTAAAGGCCTAAGTGTGTCGAATGACAGCCACTTTACCTACCTACCCCCACTACTGCATACAACATATAAGGATTTTCGTTATTCAAGTGAACTTTATATCGATTATATCGGTTAATGTGTGAGTAATCTTAATAAAATTGATTATTCTGAAACATACTTTAGTTTATTAATATAGGTAATTCCATCAGTCCTCCTAAAAACAATATATCCAATGTGGCAATTTTCGACTTTCCAGCAATGCTCAGAATATTATCTCCGCCATGGGCTCGAACAGTTCTATGAAACAACGCTATTGAGACTGCTAGTGTGATCCAATGTCGTTTCGACTTCGTGCAATTTGAATTCCACCGTATAGAGTTGAGCACCCCCCACATTTTTTGAACGCAAATTACTTAAACTTCTTACTCGTTTTTTACTTTTCTTTTTGAAATATTTCATTTGGCACTGGTTTTATGTTTTCTTATTCGCACTCTGTCAATAGGCGAAGAAATAAGATAAAAAGTTTTACCATTTTTTGGAAATTCGAAATACATTACGACTAGTGTGATTAATTTGAGTTTGGAGGAACACATTTCTAAGTCATTTAGACCAATTTTTTTCGTATCGCCTTATGGTTAGAAAAAAAAAATAATGTACTGCACCTAGCGAAATATACCTATTTAGGACCAAAACAAAACTTTAAATTTGTGTTATTTAAATGTATCAAGAAACATTGTCACTTCATTAATTTTTGCATATTATGTTAATTATATATATAGAATTATGAAAAAATATATATATTTACATAATTTTTTGTGAAATTCGAGGAACAAAATTATTCATCTAGAACGAAAAAAATATAAGACCAACATCATGTTTTTTAATAACGTAGCAAAAAATCGTGAAAAAGAAATTAATTAATAACTGGTATTGGATTTGTTTTTTATTAAGACTTGCTGAGCCGTCGAGGCATTGAGCAAACTGATTAATTTATTGTTCTCTGATCAATTTTAATACATTCTTGGTCTTAAAAATGAACTGTTGCATTATCGTGCTCGAATATTCAATTTTTTTGGAAATGTTGTCACCAAAACTTGAAAGTATTTCGTCCAGATGCCCGATGTATTTCTGGCATTCCATTGGCTTCAATCGCTACCTACACCATAACTGATCCTCCAATAAAATTGCGCACTAGTCTTTCTTCCATCTTCTTACGTTTGTTGGGCTAGAATATCTGGACCATCCAAATTGAATTTTTTTTCACCAGGAAATATTTCTCGCTTTTCCTAAAATTGGTATTTTTATATTACTATCTAGTACACATGTTTGTAATATGGTTTATCGTTTCCCTATTCGTATAGTTAGATAAACTATATTGTTTATGTTGGTCTCGTATTTTTCGTTGGGTGTAAATGTGTGCGTGGTGTTTGTCATTAAAGAAAATAATTTTAAATTATGTTGAAACTTTAAGGGGAAAGTGGTTAGCCGCGGCTGGTAGGGACAGGGCCGCCCCGAAATATTTTACCGCCTTAGGCAAATGCAAAATTTTCCCCCCTGTAAGCCTATTTTACCTTAATAACAAAATTTATAATTTTTGAAAATTCAAGTCAAAGTCATTTTGTTAATAAATAACCACTCATATTCCAAATTTTTAACATATTTATTTAAAAGAATTATAATTAATAGTACAATTAAAAAAGTAAACTGTTTGAATAATTTCGAATGGAATGCGAAAACATTAAGCAATTTTACAAAGTAAAGAGTCTTTATTTTCGTTTATGTACCGATTTTTGCACTCCTATCTCAAGAAATTTCTGCATGGCAAGTATATTAGTAATATGACTGTAGTATTTCTTTCGGCCCATTAAATGCATACTTGTATATCAAAAATTAAATTTTAACTTTATCACTTATATTATGACTTTTCATTTTCACTTGAAAATACAAAGAAACACATTGAAATATTAAGCAAAGACAGATCTGCAGTATTTACAATTATTCGATTTACAGTTACTATTTCTCTCAGTTTTTTCTAATTTTTGCGCTCTTTAAAAATTAATTTTTGAAGAACTCCGATTATTACGATATTCAACGCTTAATCGTTCCTGCTACAGAGTAGTCAATATAAAATTGGACTCTTAACCCCCGAGTGTGTGTTCCATATGTTCACACAAGTTCCAGCGCACACTATAATTTATACATTCGAAAATACTTACAATTTTTCCAACTTTCCCATAGGCGTGAAAACGTCGTCTTCCATCTTTTTTAGTATGTTGTTGTTTAGCATAAGTTTTTCTAAAATAACTAATCCTTGAAAATCACTTGACTCAATCGTAGTAAGATTATTAGAAAACAAATTAAGACTTATTAATGAATTCACATTGTTAAACAAACCATCGGGTATGTCAGAAAGATAGTTTTGTCCTAAGAGCAGCTCCCGCAAATTTTTTAGGTCGGAGAATGCATTGCCATCAATCTAGGAGAGGAATGTTGTGACAAAAATAAGTATTGTGTAAATGAAATTAATTGAAATTACCTTCGAAATTCGATTTGTACTTAGATCCAAACTAATTAAGCTTTTCAAATTTTTTAATAATTCCATGGACAGCGATGAAATTCGATTATTATGGAGAATCAAGCTCCGCAGGTTCTTCAGGTCAGAAAAGAAGTCATCCGAAATGCTTGCTGTAAGAACATAAATTACAATGGTATGTTTAGTATGGTTTTTAATGCCCTCGTATATGTTATATATACATGTGGTTGCTACGAGTATAATAGTTTTGTTCTCCTAACGGTTGATTGCATCACCTAAAACTAATCTAAACGAGTAGAAATTCTGGGGCTGTATGTCCACCCGTCTGTGCAAGCGAAAATTTGATTAAAAATTTAGATATCTTGATTAAACTTGGTATACATGTTTCTTAACACCATGAGAAGGTTCGTATGGTAGATAGGCAGAATCTCCATTGCCAGAGAACGTATATCATAGAGAAAATTCATGGCACGGCCATTATCAAAATATTTCAGTTTTCAAAGGGGAACTGAAAAAGATGAACGTGTTTCACCAAAATTAACATAAGGAGACTGACTCAAAAATAGCAGAATTGAACATTTTCAGTGTTAATTGAGAAAAATTAAGAAAATTCCAATGTTAAGGAATGTACGCGTATATATTCCTTTATTTACAATCCACAAACGAATCTGCATATACTTTTTAGATAATCTGTATATATTTGGTATCAAAGCACATAAGTATATACATACAAGTATATTCAAACTGAGCTATTTCATGAATCATGATGAAGTCAATAAAATCTTTTGAAATATATGATAAAGTAAGTATTGTATTATTACCTAAATGTGTAATTAATATACATAGGTTTTATAAATAATATATACATATATTTATTTAATTTGGTCATTAAAAGATTTGATAACCTCTGAAAGGACCAAGCGGTCGCATATATGATCATACATACATCTTTAAGTAAGCGTGTAAACAAAATAAAAAAGGAACCATACGCATAATGTTTGTAAATTTGCATAAGGTTTAAAATTCTTTTGCGGAGTATATAATACAATTTTTATTTCTTTAATAAACTCAAAACTTTTAGTTAAAGTTAGTTACAGTAATATACAATACATAAATATAAAAATGGAGTGCAACCAAAATATAATTAAGTAATAAACTATGAAAAGATATTTTCACTTGATTCCATGCTTGCTCTTCCCAAAAGCTCTGCTATATATGTCGCCAGTTCATGGATATTTCGGAATTTAAAAATGCTTAAATAAAAATTTAAATTAACTAAAAATATAATTTTATTTGAAACTTAATAATAACTCACGTATATTATATTTCAAAACTCCTTCGTTATATATTTATTTTTTTAACAGAAAAAGAGTTATTGCACAGGAGCACGCAACACTTTTAGTTTATGGCACGGAATAACAGTTACATACTTAGGTATTTCACAACTTCTCGAAACTCCTATGGAAATGTGTGCTGTCTCCTTCGACGTATATAAAAGTTGCTTTTAGAACAGTCATTTTACTGTTGATTTGACTCTCAGTGGTGACAGTACTAAAGAATGCAGCTATTTCATACTTACATATGTAAAGATATAGTAAGCAATATAAATCGTAAGTGTCTCATTCTAACAGTAACAGTGATGGTCACTTGACGGGTAAATTGACCGTCAGTACTGACATAACAAATGTGAGTGGATTGGTGAACCCATCAGCAGTTTCTTGTAGGATTATTGAGCATGCGTACATATCGACGCATATTTTTGCGAGCCACGGAAAAATATTTTAAATCGGCAAAAGCTATGCTGACAATTTTTTCTGTGTTATGTCGGTTTGCGTGGTTGTCAGTTTTCCCTTTTAGAGAGAACATCAGAAAGTTGTTCAATTTTTGATTTTTAGCTTTTGCCATCGTCGCAAACAGACTCTTGTTGGCAAATCCATGTTCGGGGAGATGTGATGATGTCTCTTTTTATGAGTTAGCGAAGCTTCCGAAGAAAATGTTGTTGTTGCATGATTCAAAATAAATTTTGTTTCAGAAATTCGGCATATTGATTTCTGATGCTGCTTATGTCATTTGAACGATTGTTGTTTTTGTAGAACATTGTTTGTAGTTTTTACGCGTGACAGATTTATATGTCTATCCATATACTCGTACTTATGTATGTTTGGGTATGCATTATTTGTGTGGCAATATCATACGCACATATGTAACTATGTACATACAATATAGAGCAGTGGTCGCACATGTTATTGCTCTGTATATGATACATACGTATGTAAGTTTTGAATGATAAGAGATATGATTTATATTTATTCCTGTATTATGATCGTATGTTATGAACATATATAGTATACATATCAATCACTATATATATATATATGAAAGTACATATATTATATTATCAAAAATAAGGAATATATAAAAAGTAGGTATTATTTGCACATTGACTACAAATATTCGTTTGAAAATTAAATAATATAATTAGAATTCATATTTTTTGCATGCATTCATAAAAATTCGCAAAATTATATTCATATCAACAAAATTGGTTGCATATATAAAAATATAAGTCAATAGGCTAACATGCAACTGTAATGTCAATGCATACATTTAAGTATAATCACTGTGGTGAAATCGCATTTTGTCAGTTGAATCTTCTCTATAATTTACGTTATCTGCCATTGCCACACACAGAAAACGACATTAATCGAAACCCTATAAAGTGCCATAACTAACCCTAACCCTAACTGTACCCTTGTGTTAAAAACGGTAAAATTGTGTCAATACGCAATACGTCAATACGTCCCCTTATATAAAGTTTTTCGAACTTTCAGATATTAATGAAATAGAGCACATTTTTTTGGTAAAAATGTGTCGTAAGATACAAATTGGTTAAAATCGGGTTATTAATACATTGTGTATATGGGGGCGAGGGAGAGTATTGACCCGACTTTATTAATTTTTGACACCGGGGTACAGTCTTATTAGAAAAAAGATTCTTCTTATAATTTCAATAATATATTTCACACATTGACCGATATTTTCGGGAAAAAGTCAGCTATTGGCACTGGGGTCCATATTTTTGGTATCTGGGGGCTTGTACAGTTATGGTCTGATTTTGACAATTTTTAGACTTAAGATGCCATATCTTAAAGACACTATTTGCGTAAAGTTTTATCCCGATATATTCAATGGTGGATTTGGAATTTAAAAGTTGTGAAAATTTCGCCAATTTTCACACCGTAAAATAGGAATGTCTAGATAACGTTACCTACCGTTTTTCTCCTTTCTAATTCGATCCGTAGTAACAAAGAACAAGAATGCTTTATTGGTAAGTTTATTTATGACACATTATATGTTTTCAATTAATGACAATACCAACCTCTCTTGGGTGCCAACCAAGTTTAATAACGATTTCTTAATTTGTACTCAAGTTATCGCTTGCTCGGACGGATGGACAGACAGTCACTCGAAATTTATGCAACATTGTAACACCTAATCGCAGTGGTACGTGCATATTCATCGTGCGAAAGATTATTGGGTAAAAATCCGGATAAAATATTTGTTATTTTCGCATCTTTTATTTAGCATATTTGACCGGATATATGAAGGTTAGCCGATTTTTTTTTGTATTCTGCACATTAATACCAAGCGTGAAAGTATTCTCAAGACACAATAGTTTTTGATAAATTTTAATGTTGCAACAGGATTCTTCTCTCTAGAGGTAATGCTAAACTCTGAACATTATTATTGGTATGAAAAATACTAAAATCTATGAGCTTTCTGAATACTTTGCCACGATCTATTGACATATATAAATAACAAATAGCATATAATTGTCATATGTACTTACAAATAAAGTTAAAAGAAAAATCGATCATTTTTAGAGTTTTTAAATTTTTTAGACATCCAGATTGAAGTTCCAAAATTTCATTCCGAGACAGGTCTAAGTCCTCTAGCACTAATTGATCCCGAAGTAATTCCGGTGAAAAATGTTGTATTCTATTTTGGCTTAAGTTAATGACAATCAAAAGTTGGCTATGACCGAATAAGTTTGTTGGCAAATCGGATAACAGGTTTTTGCTAATGTCTATTAAATTTAAGTTACGAAGCTTCCAAAATGTTACTGAAGCTAAGTTCTCCAAATGGTTGTTTTGAAGCCGCCTAAATATATGTATACATGCAAATCATAAAATAACGTTAATAAAATCATAATGCTTGGCAATTTCAATGAACTTACAATTGTAAGAGACTATCTAGGTCTTGAAAGAGATTCGCTGGAATAAAGTTTAGAATGTTATTGGATAGGTCCAGTTCTTTCAGCAAAGTCAAACCACGAAAAGTGTCTTTATGGAAAGTTGAAAAATGATTCCTTGAAAGGTCACTACAAAGATATTAAAACTTTATATTAGAAAATTGATGATATATGTTATGTTTGTTAAAAGAGGACAAAACATTTTACGTGAAACTCGCAAAAAGGAGTATTTTAAACCACTTCTAAAAGTACCACTCCTGCCGCTCTACCTTTGTTTTTTATACTATCGTATGCTTAATAATATTGTAATTTTTTTCATCTAACGGTTTTTTGGCACATCTTAAACTAATCGACTTATATATGGAGCTGTTTAAGTATATATTTATAAATAATAATAATATAAAACGCCATAAATTAGCCGAAAATTAAGATACGAAACTATAATTTGATATAGTTATTCACAGAATAGAAGGTGGGGTGGTCTGGGGAAGTGAGCTTGGCCCCGCCCTCTTATTGGTTTAATGTGTATATCCCACAAATCACTTAAACTATTTCACTCGATCTTGCTGTGGTGATGTACTTCTAATTTCTCTTCATTCGTTGTGAAAAGGGATGAAATCAAATGATAACCATGCCCGATTATGTTAAAAACTTCTAAGATACGATAACTCATTAAATAAATACATCAGAAGCATTCAATTTCATATCCTATATGATACGGAAGGGCTCCATAGGACCTGGAATCAAAATTAAACAATGGGGGTGGCAGCACTCACCTTTAGGTGAAATAAATAATCCAAAAATAATATTATATGTAGTGATACCATAAGTGCGTAAAATCGATTCCATACATCCGCTAGTCCCCATAACCTAATATAAAGATTTTCGAACTGACTTTATATCGTGTCAACTGGTCTTAATATGAGATATCTTAAATAAATTTAAAAAACGTATCGCTAATAACATTGTGTCCTTGTGTCTAGAATGGATCAACAACAAATTTAAAATTTCCGGTTGAATTAATAGCGTATACTAGTAAATATTATATAATGCTTTGAAAATATTATTTACAAATTAAGAAGGAAACGGTAATGCGGGTATAAGAATCCAAGATTGATACAAATATTTGTCAATGGAAAAAACAAAAAGTTTTCAAAACCTAAACCGAAAAATGCTTCTTTTGGCGCTGAATAAATAGGAAACTGTAGCTTTCTGAAGACTGGTCTGCTGCAAGAGAATCATTTCTTTAATGAACTTCGCAGTCAAAATGCGCGTTATGAATATTTCTAGTCAACTCTTCGATGATCAAAAGTTTTTTCCATCAGCACCATTGAAAAGTTTATCGTTTCCATTTTAATCTGGCATTCTTCTGTGCAATGCTTCGAGTTATTGTGGAGAATTGATTTTTTTTCTCAGCACTTGGTACGTCACTCAAAATTATAATAACAATAATGTTTTTTTTTTTTAATTTAGAACACATCGTTATGTTTAGAAATATAGTATATAATAGTTGTGTTTACCTAACGGTTGTTTGTTTTACTTACTTGTAAAACTACAATAAATAAGATATAGGGTTATATATTCATATATTATACTTGTATAAATGATAAGAATGACGAAACAAGTTGAAATCCGGATGACTGTTTATCCGACTGTCCGTCTGCCCATGCAAGCGATAACTTGAGTAAAACTCGAGATATCTTCGTGAAACTTGGTAATCGGACTATTGCCTTGCCCACAAAATGCCATTCAATGAAAACTTATAAAGTGTTACAACTATGTTAAGCACTAAAGTAAGATACAATACAAGAAAAAAAATTTAATACAGGGGACACCTGTGGGCAAAAATTTTTTTTAAAGTGGGCATAGCCCCGCCCTCTAAATGGTGGAATGTACATATTTTCCAAACCGCTGATGTTAAATAAACCAAACTTCCTCGCAGTAAGTATTTTTAGCACTTCTTAATATACTGTAAAAAAAGGTAAAATCAAATAACAACAAATGCCATAAGCAAAATGGTATGAAATGGCTTTATAGGATCAGTTGTAAAAATTGGACAATGGGCGTGGCGCCGCCTACCTAATCCTATATCCCAGGAACTACCTATACAACCAAATTTGATGTGTGTATTAACCTAAGATTCGTATGTTACGTGGTAGAATTTTTAAGAATCAAAAACGGTTTCTCTTGATTTCCGACAAAACTACGAGTCTTATAGAAAAAAGTTATATGCCAATGTTGTAGGTAATAAAAAGATCTATAAAATTTGTGTGAAAAATTCAAATACCCAAGTTTTTGAGTTTTTATTTTTATCTTGTACAAAAATTTTGTTTCTTTCACAAAATTTAGAGTAAACTTACCTAATTATGTCCTAAATACATTGTATTTTTATACTCTCGCAACCTGTCTCTACAGAGTATAATACAATAGTTTTGTTCACCTACCGGTTGTTTGTATCACCTAAAACTAATAGAGTTAGATATAGCGTGATGTATATATAAGTGGTCAGGATGAAGAGACGAGTTGAAATCCGGGTGACTGTCTGTCCGTCCGTCCGTCTATCCGTCTGCGCAAGCTGTAACTTGAGTAAAAATTGAGATATATTTATTAAACTTGGTACCATAAGACGGTTGGTATTGCTGATGGGCGTAATCGGACCACTGCCACGCCCAAAAAACGCCATCAAAAACAAATAAATTGTTCTAACTAAGCTCCACAATAAGATATACGACTGTTATTTGGTATACAGGATCAAATTAGGGAAGGGCATCTTCAGTTTAAAATGTTTTTAAAAAGTGGGTGTAGTCCCGACCCTAAATTGGTTAAATGTGCATATCTTATAAACCGCTAAAGCTATATTAACAAAATTCATTAAGAACAAATCGGGTGACCACTAAAAGCGCGATAAATCAAGTACTAAACACGCCAGAGTCATTAAATTCTAACTCAGGGATGCTACGAGATAACTTTATAGGAACCGACTTCAAAATTAGACAATGGGCGTGGCACCGCCTACTTATGGTTGAAAACCCATATCTGGGATCTGCTTCACCGATTTCAACCAAATTCGGTACATGACATTCTTTTTTGTATTTATATATTATAGTGCGAAAATGGGCGATTTCGGTTTACAACATCGCCTGTTTCCCATATAAGACATTTTAAATTCCATCTGATTTTTTCACTTTCCAGCACTTCGGCGTAAAACTTTGCGTGAATAATATGTTTAAAGTATGCAACCTTGTGACCAAAAATTATCTGAAACGAATCAAAATTGTTCAAGCCCCTAGGTACTGAATTTGTAGAACCCAGTGCCTAAAGTTGACTTTTTACCTAAAATATCGGTCAATGAGTAAGATATATAATTGAAATTCATAAAATAAAATAAATAAATTAAACTCTCGATAAACGTAAGTTTGTGTCAAAAAATGGGTTGAATCGGATCAATACTTCCTATAGCCCTCATATACCTAATATAAAGATTTTTGAACTTCCGGGTGACTTGATACCGCATATATCGGCCAATATGTGAGTTATCTCAATGAAAATGAAAGAGCATGTTTTAATCATAACAAGGTGTTTTTGTGCCTAAAATGGATGAAAGCGGGTGAACATTTTACCTGGCCCCCATGTAACTAATATCAAGATTTTCGAAAGTTCGCCTGACTTTTCTCCATATGATTGGTGATGGTATGTGAGGTACCTTAAGGAAACAGTGGGAGCATTTTATTAGTATATGTCATGTTAATAGTATGTAGTATTGTCAAAAATTGATAAATTCGGTTTATTACTAACCTCTACTTTCATATACAACTTATAATAACCAGTTTTATGCCGAATATGTCGGTTAGTGAGTATTAAAAAAATTTTTATATATAAAATTGCTTCAAAATATGTTATCTATGCTCGCGTGTAGCTGAGCAATGTCAAATTTAATATCTTTCTCTATCCTCAATATATTATATATAATATATGATTTCCGCTTGACTTTAAACCGTTCCGGTTGATCAAAATGTGACATTTTAATGAAATTAAGTGGATAAATTTTCTTTAAAATTATGTGGTTTGACGATGAATTAGAATGAAAATAGTATATACCTTAGTCTAAGCCTCACACCTTCTTAAAATGAATACCAATTCTCTGGTTGACGTTTTCCACATAAGCTTATAATATAAAATTTAGCCACTTTGGTCGAGTATCATATTCATACATACCTATGTATATCTCACTTCAAGATGTTTTGTTTAAGTATAATTTTCGCTGACGCGAATTAAAATATAGCAATAAAGCTGAGACTAAGTTTATGGCCCTAATTATAAGTCAAGAATATACCAAATTTGATTGTAATTAAATCACGATTTCATTTAATAATGAATGTTTAATTATTTCTCAACATTTTTTTTAATATAAGGTTTTGCCACACCTGAAGGAATCTCCTGGCCTTTGATTCTTGCAAATTGCAAGAGTATAAAATTCTCGGTTCCACCCTAGTACCCATTATCGGGAATGTATTGACCCCAGCCTAAACATACTTTATTTAAAAACTTCAAATATCCGTTTGTCTTTATATAAACGTTAAATGTAAGATAAACAATAGTTTAATGTCGAAAATGTGGGAAATCGGTCCACGAAATTCCCCAGCTCACATGTATGGTATAATTTTTTTTCATTAATTTGATAGTTTAAACTGTCCATTTAAGTGTTTTTAAAAATACTGTAGTTTATCGCTGCATATGAATGAAATTGGTCTAGACCTTTGTTTAAACCTTATAACCCTAATATACTGATTTCCGCTCCTCTGATACAACAGGAACCTCATATACCCCACATATTAAATCTAACTCCTTTGGTTCAGTTTATATCACATATAGCATGTTTGAGTTAAATAGCTTCTTTTTGTTAAGGTTAACATTTCGGAGAAAAAAAATAGTATTGACACTAAATAAATCTATGATCAATAACATAAGTTAATAATATACCAAATAATAATCGAATAATAAATGTTGAATTCTTTCGCAACATTTTTATACTTTCGCAAAATGCTGCAACATAGCATAGTTTTGTTCACAAAACGGTTGTTTGCATCACCTAAAACTAATCGAGATAGATATAGATTTCTATCTACAAA